GAGAACAATACTTTTATAAAACCACTGCATACACGAACAATCATCAAAACCACTTATTGACAGATGTTGAGAGATCTGCCACAAAGATAGTCCCTGAGTATCATTCAGTATTGGTTAATTAAGAAGTCCACGCAGTCTCGTGTATATGCACATCTCTGTTGTTACCCAATATTTCGTTATGTATGTGTACAATGAATGCAAGTAAATTATGGTAACAAGCGACGTACTTCTACGGCTGTATGTGAAATAGTAATATAAATAGTTTAGACTTATTTTTTGATACTAGATTAGTAACAAATATAAAATACTTTGTTGAACTGATTAAGAAACTTGATGATTTCCGTTCATCCCCCCCCCCCCTAGTGGTTCATCAACAACTCTGAAGGCCTCTAACGCTAAAAACTGGATTTTTATACCCGTGGTGAGTACAGCGCAGATAGCCCATTGTGTAGTTTTTGGAACAAACTAATAAAGTTCGCGATACCGAGATTACTTGATAGTTCTATAATTTGATTAAAACAAATAAGAGGACTGAAGCTATTCTGGACACTTGCGTGCAAACGTCTCCCCAAATGGCAAAAGCTAGTAATATTAACAGCGAAAAGGTGTAAAATTTGAGGGCTTTATATTCAAATTTCATCATTTTGGACACTCCCCTAACTAAAAGACACTTGTATATACACGGTCCTAATTTGTATCATTTAAAGGGGAGTTCGTGTAGAAATATTCCTAACTTCTGGTATTTGAAAGGACAAACCACGAAAATCACTTCAGCTTCAGACAACTCAGGAATAGGCTGTTCCGAATCAAGCAGGGGAGTTCAGTTGAAGCCCGATTGTGAAAGCTCAAAACTTTGGTCTCTAAGTAGACCTATGTATCAGTTCTTGAACGTGTATACACCCACAACCAATGTACTGTATGATATACCTTTAATATACCTATAACTTTTTTTTTAGTAAACATTTCAGGTAAAGTCTAAAAACGTTTTTTCTGCACTATTCATTCTTGACTGAGTTTATATGCACCCTAACAGGTAACGTGCATGAGATATTATGTAAAAGATTACGTTAGGACTATCAAGTACTGTGTTGTTTAGTGCATAAAGCAGAGAAATTATTACTTGAGCACATAGAAACAATAATTTGTTTTTTGTTTATTCGAAGTTGAGCACAAAGCTACACAATGGACTATCTGTGCTATTTAGAGCTATGCCACTGGTGAAACAATAATTACGTGTGATAGTTTTCACTATTGTTGCTAAGTTAAAGAGGCTCTTGTTTTTTGGTTTTTTTTACAAGTCAAACATCATGTGGAAATTGACAATTTTATATTAAAATAGGACGTTTCTACAATGGTAATGGTATTTTTTAAATATCTGTTAAATTTAAGTAGATTCACTTAACAGTTATATGACTGTAACATAGAAATTGCTGTTTTAAACTGTAGCTTTTACTGTCATAATTTGCTAACACTTGTTTTAAACCAAGATATGTTTCTACTAATATTATCAAAGTCCATTTGAAATCGGAAGTCACTCCTGCTGGTTATTTGTATATTTTATTCCAACATTTTCGACCATTCTGGTGTAAATCGGTTAAGTTAAAACATATTTACGTATCATACAGTAAATAAACGACACATTACCAGAAGGACCAATCAACATTCTACTAGACTGTGACGTAAATTATTATCTAATGGCACCTGACTGAAGCACTCCTCCTTTCAGACAGATAAAACAATATATCACCTTCCAGAAAAAATAGGACGAATCAAGCTGTTACAACTCATAAACAATGGCGACGGAAAAAAATATGCGATATACTTAGTCTAGAACATTCAAAACTCTCACTCATTGAGTTAAGCAATCATTCTAATTGGTCTGTCTCTCCAACTCATTGATCCATCAGGTCCTGCGCAGATATCACGAGCAAAAAGCAACAGTTATAGGCCGCAGTTAGCCAATCATTTGACGGCTGTGGATACGTATATATATATATTGATCCTAAAGTGAGACGAATTAGAAGCGCACGTGGGTTATAACCGAAAGGTGCGTATTCCCATTACCGCCATATTGGAAACGAGTACACGGAAATCAATGCTTGATAGATCTTATTGACACAGTAAGGGATGTTATAATGTTACCCACAGCTGCTTCAAAATAACGTAGCATTTATCAGTGTAAGATAAAATAATTGAAAACGGTGACCAGAAAATCTGCGTTACAACTACAAATCTCTCGTGTAACCGCACAAAATCTGCGTTACAACTACAAATCTCTCGTGTAACCGCACAAAATCTGCGTTACAACTACAAATCTCTCGTGTAACCGCACAAAATCTGCGTTACAACTACAAATCTCTCGTGTAACCGCACAAAATCTGCGTTACAACTACAGTTCTTTCGTGTAACCGCAGATAGATATGTGGTTGTTAATTATTTCATAGTTTGTTGTTGTTATTGCTTCAGCATCATACGATCAGCTCTGATTGCGGCGTTATTGTTGATTTATTTTAAAATCACCTGGTAATTTGCTTGCGGTATGACAAAAACTGACCAGCTTAGTTCTGTGAAAGGCTACAGTTCCGTTACTTTTTCGGCTCACATTGATCAGCGTATATTTAATTTTGTTTATATGTATATTATTCTCCCTGGTACTCAAGGCTAGATTTGGATGTGATATTTGTTAATTATTACATGAGTGACTTTGACAAGAATTGTACCAGCGCTGCCTAACGTTTCAAGAAGAGAGAGCGTGAATATTAGAAGCGATTACTGTAAAAATCCAGACGTGATGACACTACTTATATCATCTTCCACCATGTACCTTGACAAACACTACCATCTTCCACCAGGGTACCTTGACAACCACTATCATCTTCCACCAGGTACCTTGACAAACTACCTTCTTCCACCTGGTACCTTGACAACCACTATCATCCTCCTCCAGGTACCTTGACAAACACTATCATCTTCCACCAGGTACCTTGACAAACACTACATTTAATTAAGATTTTCCGCGAGGGAACTCAGACCACCAACTACTGAGGTTCTGTTACAATATAAGTATTTTAATTATATAATCAGTTATTATCGTCATAAAATATTTCCATGTACTTTTTGCTAGGTAGTTTTATCTCTCCTCAATATCTATTTGCTAGGTAGTTTCATCTCTCTCCAATATCTAATTGCTAGGTAGTTTTATCTCTCTCCAATATCTATTTGCTAGGTATTTTTATCTCTCTCCAATATCTGTTTGCTAGGTAGTTTTATCTCTCTCCAATATCTGTTTGCTAGGTATTTTATATCCGTCTCAAATATCTGTTTGCTAGGTATTTTTATCTCTCTCCAATATCTGTTTGCTAGGTAGTTTTATCTCTCTCCAATATCTGTTTGCTAGGTAGTTTTATCTCTCTCCAATATCTGTTTGCTAGGTATTTTATATTTCTCTCCAATATCTGTTTGCTAGGTATTTTATATCTCTCTCCAATATCTGTTTGCTAGGTATTTTATATTTCTTTCCAATATCTGTTTGCTAGGTATTTTATATCTCTCTCCAATATCTGTTTGCTAGGTATTCTATATCTCTCTCCAATATCTGTTTGCTAGGTATTTTATCTCTCTCCAATATCTGTTGACTAGGTTAGTTTTATCTCTACTCCAATATATGTTTGCTAGGTATTTATCT